AAATAGTCCGTTCTACACCTTTGAATCTAAAGTACATACTTTGCAAGGCAATTTCGAAAAAAAAATATTTAATTTTGTCATTCGGCATTTACAGTCGGATATTAAAGTATGATAAGTCGATGATTTTGTCTCGAGGAGCCATTTTATTTTTTTTGATATCCAAAGTTCATTGCTCTCAAATACCCCGTTCTAGTATATACCTACCTCTCAGTCTCAGTCCTTAGGAATCTACATTCGATTTGTTGGAGAATGGGCACTGCGACCTTAGGTCTATTGTGTCCCTCTCTTATCAACCTAGCGTACCAGCCTAATGCTAGTAAATTAAAGCTCACTCAAAATCATACAACTTGTGCTAAGGAAGTATTTCGTTTATTTCAGTAGAAATATTTAAAAAAAATGTATTGCCGAATGTAAGTGTCATCGAAAAATGTAAAAAGGCAACCCCTGGGTTCGGAAAAAAATTTTAAATTCACTTAAAAACAATTCCATATAGTACAACTCCAATTCCATATAATTTTACTACTTTAGAAAATATTTCTTTGTCAATTTTTCCGCGTTCCAAGCTTTTTTCTCTCGTAATAATCATCTCACTGCATCCTTAATGGTGTAGTGGACCTTACAAAAAATCGTAAGTTCGGCATTGAACTTTAAAACAGCTTTACATAGTTTTTATACATACATATGTATGTACATATATGTGTTTATTTTTCCACTTATTTAAGATGAGCGCGGTATAGTTATGGGCGAATTCGGCTTCATAACCGCCGATGGCATTTATCACGTCACAGTCTATGCTACAGATGAGGAAGGCAAATTCCGTATATTAGCCATGCGTAGTTATCCCTACGAAGAGCATCCAAGTAAGTTCTTTATCTTTGAATTAGAAATTTCTTACAACAACACAATTTTTAACAATTTCCAACTTCCGCAGAGACAATCGAAATGATTGTAAGACCGAAGGCCAAATCGACGACGCCAAAGGCCATCGCACCACCCACCACAACAACAGAACGCGCCAAGCCAAAACCAGTCGAAAAACATAATTTCAGCGTGCAAGGTTGTTCGGGTTGTTTTATCAAAAACAATGTACCAACAACGACAACAACAACGCGAAAGCCAGAAGATAAGAAATACGGCATAAGACCTCTGTCACAGCCGCTGGCGCCAGAAGAAGCTCCACAAATTGGTAAGCATGTAATTTCGCAGGTTTTACCACAAGTGCTGAAAGAGGTGCAACAAGTTGAAACGAAATTGAAAGAAACAGAAGTTAGAGTACCAACAAAAGTAGGGGGAGCCGTAGTAATAGATAGAAACAGAGGAGGGAGTAAAGTTAGCGAGAACCGTTCGAAAGGTGTACAGAAGATACAGGCAGCAACACAAAATACACTAGGGGGATTACAGAAAGAACCAGGAGTAGTACAAACAGCGCAAAAAGCAGGACAAAAAGCAAATACACAAACACAAAAGGTACCGTTGTTAGCGCAGAATGCAAGAGAAATAATACAGAAAGCACCGGAGGGAACAGAAAGGGATCAGAAAAACCTGAAGGTAGCACAATCCACACAGCAAACACAAACAACACTGTTGGGATCAGGGACAAAAGCACAAATCCCGCATGTAACACCACTAGAAACACATTTAGCATCACAAACACGCCAGGGAACTCCACAAAAAGCACAAACAACAGTACAGAAAACACAAGCAACAACACGAAACCGAGAAGGTACTCCGCCGACATCGCTGAAAGATCAAGAAGCGATACAAAGAGTGCAGGAGAGAAGAAAACAGGCGCTACAAAACGAAAGGATACAGTCCACAATACTGAAAGCACAAGCAACAACACAACAAGCTCAGACACTGCCACAGAAAACAGATATAACACAATTTGCACTGCAACACAACACACCGTTAGCTACACAAACAAATATAGCAACAACAATTCCACTTGAAACACTTAGCACAAAAACAAACCGTCTGACAGCTTCGTCTTTAGTGAGCAAAGGAAGTGAGTATAAGAGATTTATGAAACATGTTGATAAAAAAGCTTTTTGCTTGGCAAATTTGGGCAAAGGAAGTGAGTATAAGAGATTTATGAAACATGTTGATAAAAAAGCTTTTTGCTTGGCAAATTTGGCTCAAATATTTCGCAGGCAGGAAGTACTAATGTAGTTGCCATAATTTTTTATTCATTTTATAGGTGCTTTGCCGCCCAGCAACACAGCAAAGACAGCAACGGTAGGCGGAATTGGTGGCGCAAATGCAGCAAAAGCGCCGGCGACAACTGGCATAAACGGTAATTGTAACGCGCATGAGAAGACCATAAACTTTTTATAGGTTAAATGCTATATAAAATTATAATTTTCTTTTCACTTTTCATGCTCGCAGCGCTACCTAGTGCAGCCGGCGCGCCATCTGCTGGTACAACGGGCTCAACAAATGGTATATCAACCCCTAAAAAGCAACTAACGACACCAGCAGTCACTGCTGGCAACACTGGTGGCGGAAAAGGCGCTGCAGCGGGCGGTGGTCCGAATACGAATGCAGGCGGCTTTGGTGCTGGTAGTGGCAGCGGTGGTGCGAGTGGCAACAGTGGTGGCAGCAAGTCAGGCAGTTCTGGTGCTGGTGGCTTTAAGGGCGGTTCGAGTGGTGGCAGCACTGCCAGCGAAACGGGCGACTTGTACCGTTTCAAATACAATCTCGACTACAATGGGCATCGTGAGACGGGCGCATACAATGGCAACAAGGAGGGCAGCTTTTATGCCATCGGCGATGACAATGTGGAACGCACCATTGAGTACATTGCCAATGAGTTTGGCTATCAGCCGCGTGTGCGTTTCCGCAAATTGGATGCGCCCGTGCAGGCCAAGGAGAATACGCTGAAAGATTACGAGTTTGTGTGGTTCAAAAAGGCATAAGCGATGTAAATACCGTCAATTTTACACACAAAAATTTCAATACATACACACGCGAGCCCAGAGACCAGAAATAGTAACACTGCGTATCAGGATTTTTTTTAAAGGACTTTGGAATTTCAAATGTATGATTGATTCAAAAAATTATTTAAACAACTCAGCGCAATTCAGATTGACAATATGGGTATCGAATTAAAAAAGATTAAATGCACAAGGACGAATAGGTATTGAAAATGTCCTTTAAAAATTTAATTTTTGAATATCCTTGAAAATTTTCAGTACTAATTTTTTAAGAAATTATACGTTAAGCTTGAATATAAAATTAATTTAAAGGGCATTTTTAGAGCTCGAATTTACACAGGACCACATCCTCGAGACTCGTCCTTCTAGCTTTATTAGCTAAAAAAAATTGAAATTAATTAAAAGGGAATTTTTAATACCTATTCGTCCTTGTGAAATAAATATTATTTTTTTTTTAATTTCTAAGAATGTCCTTTTCCATTTTGCACCCATATTGCTATGCTACATTGACTGAATTTTCTTAATGATTTAGTGAATTAAGCACACCTTTGAAGTTTTAAACTCCTTTAAAAAAAGAATCAAATCAAAATGTTTTGCTATATTTGGCTCATAATTTTTTGAGTATTTTGATTGTTTCGTGTGTTTTAAATTTCATTTGTTTTTTCGCACGTGTAAAATAGTTATTATGTAGTTTTAAATTTTTAACTGTATCTTAGTTTTTTTTTAAATTACTATTTATTTGTTGAAATAATAAAAATTAGGCAACAAGTGAGAAAATAAAATGAAAAAATGAAATTGTGAAAAAGAAAACGAGCGCTTGTCGAATTTTGAAATCGTTTTATTTGCAATCTCATTTAATTTGTTTTAATTTTTTTTATTATTTTATTTTTATTTTTTGTAATTTATTTTGCTTACTTAATCAAACTAAAATTCAATTTTTCAATCAATGAGATTTTACACATTTATATTTATATATATCTATATGTATATAAGATAAATGTGAGTACCGTTAATTTAAAATATACACATCGAGATGAATTTAAAATATTACATTTTATACGAATGAATGTTATTAATTTGTTGTAAATACATACATACATACAATTAGAAATATTACATTAAATTGGTTCTATTATTTTCTGCTTAATACATACATATGTACATACAAATGTAGTACATACATACATGTTAAGTGCCATTTGCCTGCTCACAAAACACTGAGATTTTTGTAGATGCTTACACATACATACATACATACATCCATTGTTGTTATTATACACATTTATAATGTTCTTGTTTTTGTACATAAATATGCAGCTGTCATACGATTTGTAATTTTCAACACTGACAAATACACACTAATTAAATTTGTTGCAATTATTTTTTAAAATTGTCTCGCATTGACTTTTTTATTGCCTGAAATTTACATACACATACGCTCACTCACACATACACAATTAGATATAGCGAATTTTCGCTTTTTGCTGTCATTCTAATAAATTTTATTTTATTTTTTTTTATCATTTATCATACACCAAGATTGTGAACAGACATTAATTACACGCAGAAATATTAATTTTTTTTCTTTATTAGGTTTTTTATATTTTTTGTTTGGTAACTTTGCTTAGGACTATTGCATTAATTTTTAAATATTTTTTCATGAATTTTCTCTTAATAAATTTACGTTTTGATTTCGTTAAATATTAAAATCAATAAAACATTTGTATTTTTATATAACTGTACATATTCATCTATCACAGTCCACCAGTTTAAGATAAACATGAAAATACTGTCTATATACGTAGTTACTTACATATAACTCGATTAACACTAATGGAAACTAAGTACATAAACCTACCAAAAATACTCATCGTTTTTGGATTTTTTTTTCAATATATTGTCACCTGAGTGGAATATCGACCTATCTCGGCAGCCAGTTCGAAAACGCTATATCTCAGAAAACTTTTCAAGAATGTCCTATTTCAAAAAACTTTTCAAGAGCGTATTTCGGAATTTTATTGAAAAACACCCTATCTCAGAATTTGTTTGAAGAACGCCCTATCTCAGAATTCGATTCAAAAACACCCTATATCAGCTGAAAATATATTGAAAATGTGCTGAGATACAGCGTTTTTAAATCGGCAGCTGAGATAGGCGTTCTTCAGTCAAATTATGAGGTAAGACGCCCTTGAAAAGTTTTTTGAGATAGAGGGTTTGCGAACTGCCTGCCGAGATAGGTCGATATTCCACTCAGGTGACAATATATTGAAAAAAAAATCCAAAAACGATGAGTATTTTTGGTAGGTTTCTTACAGGGACGTGAACCGGTTTTGAACCGAATCGGTTTTGTACCGGATGAACCGCTTTTTTCTACTAATTAACTGAATCATTAACCGAATCGAAATTTTCACACTAAGGTTTAATCCGAACAGAAAACCGAACCATGTTTTAAACTGTTAATGTTCGTTTCGACCAATTTTTAATAGAAAATTTTTTCTTTTGTAAAATATCCATGGTAACACCATCTTTGGTTATCATCTGACTTTCTGTTGTAATTCCCGAACCGTTGAACCGACACAAACACGGTCGAAATTCAAAGACAACGTGTGTTGATGATGACAGAGGGTTGCCACCTGTTTAAAAAGTGAAATTATTTTATAAGTTAAATGAGTTATTAAAATATGGGTATCAATCGAAGGTGGATTGCAAATTTTTTTTATTTCTGAACTGTATTGAGCGGAGTTACCACATGTTTGAAAATTAAAATTCAACTTAATTTATCAGTTAATTAAAATATGTATTCCAGTGTCCGGCGAAGGAAAGTTAACAATCATTAAGCAGGAAAATAGTTTTGAAAAGGGGTGCCACCTGTTTGAAAGTTCTAACTTAATTAAGAAATCTTTTGCTTGAACATTCGAATGTTTGAACAGGGTCACTTGTTTAAAAGGTTAAATTCAATTTATTTAATTTTATTTCGGACCGTTTTTAGGAGGGTTGCCATTTGTTCGGACACTCAAATTCGAATTATTTCATCAGTTTATTGAAATATATGTGTATCACAATGTCAGACGAAAGAGATTTAAGAAGATTTAAGTTTGAAAATACTTTTGAAAAGGAATTTTATAAATGAAAGTAAAAATAGAGATTAACCTTTAGATGTGTGATAAAGTCTTATTTTTTTTTAATTAAGAACTTTTTTTCTCGGTATAGGGTGATTTGAAATTTGATGAAAATCAAAACATACACTAGCGAGACTACTCTTCACTCAGAAACGGTTGTACGCTTTTATGAAAAAAAAAGCTGCAAATGTTAACAGTGTAAATTAATGAATGAAAGCTGGGTACCTCTCCGCCTAACAAAACTCCATCGTCGAATTTAACAAATAATTTTTTCTTTCTCAAAACTGGATTCTAATATATAATCAAAATTTAAAATATTTTATACAGTAGTAAAAGCCAACTTCAAATACTTTACTCGTCACTTATTTACAATTGTTAAATGATATAATTTTCTTTACACTAATTTTATATCAATCGACGAATATACATAATATTTCATTAAAATCGTCACTTATGCAATAAATTTCTTATAAGTACCTATTTTTCACTACTAATTTTACATTAATAAAATTCTGCACGGCAAATTGTGCTGCTTATAATCGATAAATTAATTAGTATTGCTGAAAATACACGAAGCATATACATATTTTTTAGACAATTTACACATGTACCTATGTAATAATTTACAACTTTATAGAATACTATTTTAAGTTTGTTAAAAAAATTTACATTATTCTATATTTCAAGAGTAAATCCTAAAGTCGTTTGAAAACACGCGCACAGACACAAACGATTCGGCAAGTTACCAATTTTCGTATTTTTGGCTGATCCAATGGTGGCTGGTTTTAAGTCGCTAATTCATGTCAGTTATCTTGAAAGACACATCGAGCCCAAGGAGCTTAATAATAGCAACTCATGCCTTACCCAATATCATGACCAATATTTTAGCTTGATACTCGTATTTTTTGAAAGAAGTATTAGAAAAATTTCACTTTCGTCATTCCACACAAAAATTTTCTTTAGCAAAACAAATGCATTTAGATTTACGGCTCACATGTACTCAAATTTACATACATATACATAGATAGATAGATATCCTTATACATACATCGATGACTAACATAACGACTGCCGCTCCTTCTTGCGCCTCCTTTTCCTTATTTAGTTTTTACAAGTTTTATTTATTATCCACTAAGCTAACCATGAACAATTTTCGTTTTGTACTCAAAATGAATGTAAAATTGTGTAATCGGGGTGGTGGTGGTAGCCAACATTCGTCGATTTACATACCTACATACAGATATATCAGTTATTTCATGCCCCCAGCTACTAGATTTACACGAAATGGCGTAGCTGGTTTGTTTTCAATGTTCGGTTTTCGGCTTTGTGCTTGCCATTCCAATATCTACTACATACTTATATGCATATGTATGTATTGTTGCAGCCCAAATTCGTTTGGTTGGCTGGTGGCAGGTTGTACGCTCACTTGCTTGCTTGCCTCCTCATTGCTATGCAAAATTTTCCACATTGAAATGGCATCATTTCAATATCGTCGGCAAGCCTGTATTCATTAATCGATTGCCAACAACAATGGAGTTGATATTGCCACTAGTCATGCCCATGCCCATGCCAACGCCCACGCCCACACCGACACCCACACTTAGGCCGCCCAGTGTGCCGAAGCCGCCGCTTGCGCCGACACCATGCGTCGGAGCAGCCGTTAGGGTTGCTGTTGCTATATTCAAATTGTTGCCACCGCCGCCAACAATACCATTGTGATGATGATGATGATGGTGGTGGTGATGATTTGAGCCAACGCCACCGCCACTGGCGCTACTGCTGCCACTGCTACTGCCGCCAAGCGCTAAACTGCTTGCACCGCTACCGAATGCACTCAAACCGCTGAGCCGGCAGCCATAGCCCATTGCAGTGAGACCCAAGCCCGCATGCACGCCACCACCGAGACTGCTACTACTACCGCCGCCGCCGCCGCCGCTGCCGCCAATGCCGCCATGCCGCCGATGCTGCTGCTGCTGCCGCCACCACTGCCATTTATGCTACCACCGCTGCCTGCACTGCTATGACTGCTGCCAACTGAGGTGAGACAATGCAAGGTGGCAGCAGCATTGAGGGCAGCTGCACTGCTGCTGCTACTGCCGCCACCGCTGCCACTACCACTGCTGAGGCCACTACTGAGGCCACTACTGAGACCGCTGCTGAGCCCTCCGCTGAGGCCGCCTCCAATGCCGACTCCACCTCCGCCACCCATCGAGCCAACGCTGCTAGCGGCGGCGGCTGCATGCGCGGCATGGGCAGCATGGGCGCTGCTGCCGCTGACGATGGCGTTGCTCTCATATTAGAAGCCACCGCCGGACGATGATGGTCATGCATAGTGCGGATAGGAGCTGAGGTGAGGCGCAACATGCGACGGCGTCACATGGCCCATCGAGTGTGGCTGATAGAGATTCGTGGCCGGGTTGCCCCAATTGCCCCATGAAGCGGCCGATGGGAATATTGAAGCTGGAAGGAAACAAAATGAGAGAAAAAGGGATTGTTAGAATTGCATGTCGTGCGAGAAAACTGAAAAAAATTGGCAAAAAGTAACACAAAACAATCTCTGAGTTGTAAGATAAGAAAAAAAGCGTGAACAAAAGCTGTCAAAAGAAAAGGAAAGTAAAAGAAAAAATTGGCTAAAATACCTGATGACGACGTCATACCATGGTGGGGGCTCATGAATGAGCTCAGCTTGGCGCTATGATGATATGGTGTCATGAACAAGTCGCTCTGGTACTTGTAGGTGGGATCACTGGCGGCGGGTTGTGTGGCGGCGGCCAAGCCCTGGAAGTCGAACTTGTATGCATAGCGTCTTGCCATGCACTTTGGTCATGATGTTCTTGTCATAGTAATATCTGTGGAAATGAGCGAAGAAGAAATATGAAAAAATTTAATACATGAACAATGATGTATGTATTGGAATTTTTCATGCTAAACTGCGACAGACGGCATATTAAATGTAGCAAACTAGATTTGGCACAAAACTATAAAACCATAAACTTAGGACATAATGAAAATTGTATGGCAAATTTGACGTCGGTTTAATTAATTCAAAATATTCGTCTCATAAATGGCTAAGTCAATGTTCAAGTTAATAAAAAAATTATGCGTTGAAATCTGCTTCACAACTATCTAAGTAAGTAAAGAACGGGAGCATAATTTCTGAAATCAATGATGTGCTGTTGGAGTAAAAAAGTCGCCTTAAATCAATACCTGTTAAGCTCATATTGTATATGTGTGAAGGAAACGGAAAATAGATAGTTGTATGGTAAATTCAGCTGCTACCAGCGAAAGGGCTTTAGGATACTAGAGATAAATTCCAGTCAGCAACAATATTCAGTAATAATTTCAAAGACCTGGAATAACCAGGAAGATCGAGCCAACTCGTCTGCAATTAGTATCTTATATGTATAGAATTTATTTTAAATGCTCATGCAAATTTTTAGTTTTCGATTTAGACCTACAATTTAACTATGTAAATATGTATGGGTCATTCCATACAATATTTACACCTCAATATTTTTTTTTGGGGGTGAAAAATATTTTTTTACAATCTTTATCGAAAAAAAGAATACACAGTTTTTTTTATTTCGTCATGATATTCGAAAATCTCGAAAAAAATACCGAAATTTTGAACTCACGGAAAAGTATCTTTTTCATTTTTTGCAGTAAGTAAACTGTTTATCGGAGAAAATCAGTTAAGGTATAAAAATGTGCGTAATTACCTCGGCTTTCCATGAGAGTGTGAGATGGATTAAAATAAAAAAAAAATTGCATTGAGAAATTGCATTGTTTATCTTTATTTTTTTATAAACTTTATGTATAAACTTTATGTACGCAGGTATAAAAAAAAACTCGTAACTTCTAGAGTTTTGGTGTTTCCATTCTCAAATTTTCACAGCGTACTCCATAAAGTTTGACAACTATTCAGGTTGAAAAAAATAAAAATCGAACATGATCAAGTTAATGAAAAAATAAAAGATAAAGAAATGAAATTTTTTAATGCAATTTTTTTTTTTATTTTAATCTAACTCACACTCTCATAGAAAGCCGAGGTAATTACGCACACTTCGATACCTTGACTGATTTTCAAAAATTTCGGGAATTTATTTTTCGAGATTTTCGAATATCATGACGAAATCAAAAAATTGGTGTCTGCTTTTTTTTCGATAAAGAATGCGAAAATATATATTTCACCCCAAAAAAAAATATTGAGGTGTAAATATTGCATGGAATGACCCGTATGTATGTGGGCACTACTAAATACATACATATGTATGTATATGAAAAAATCAATAATCAATCTAAAACATATATAAATTTTAAACAATTTTATGCCAAACCATATTCGAGGCAAACGCCTACACGACAAACATGTAAATGGTAAGCAACCTGATTTGTATGTAGCCGCTACATTGTAAGGTCTGTGACCCTTCACATTTTGGCGCGCCTACATCCCTCTGTGGCAATAAAAACTTCTTTCCAAAATAAAACGTATCTATTTACATAATAGACCAGAACTAAATGTAAATGTTTGACAATAAAAAGCACACAAAATTTTAATTAGGAGCTTTATACCATAAACTGGAACGGTTGAGACGCGTGCAAAATGACAACGTTTTTTTTTTTACGTTTTTTTCATCTTCCGAAAGCCGGTACTTCTGAAGTAACATAAATTCTTGCAAAAATTTACATAAACATAATTTCAAATAGGCATACGAAATTAGAAAAAGGCATAAATAGTAGGGTGGTGTACCAAACGTGTCTGCATGAAATTAAGTATTTTCATTCGTATTTAATTATTCACGTTTTTTAATCAGATAAATGCAGAAAAAGTAGTATTTTGAGAAATAGCAGTTTTTTTTTGGATATTGATTCAAATAAATAATTAAAGACCATTTTTCAATGTGAATGACGGCTTATAACCCACAACAGATTCGCTTCTATAAATTAAAAACATTTCTTCATCTTACTTCTAAAATTAATTTTCTACGTATAATATAAATTTACTATTGTCACTTTATGTAGTTATACCAGTTTGTATATAGTTAGGACAATGCCTATCATACTGAGGTGCAGTGTTGCTAGAAAAAAAATTCGCTTACGCCTACGCATTGAGGCGCTACTTGGGGAATGGCTGGTTTTTCGTACTTTACAAATTTCGATACAAACGCATATTGATATATTTATTAGGTTTTGTATTTTTGAAAATGTTTTGGTTACAATTACACTGGGGAACAAATTCAGGTTAGCAAAAGTTAGGTCGATTCTGAGAGTGAGGGGTGAAAATAGAGGCTAAATTAGAAGACCCGTATCGCGGCGTTTGTTTATGTTAGTTCGAATTTTTTTTTAATCGACCTTTGAAATTTGCAGTCAAATGCCGATTTTCAGCATATTGTTTATATGGGTTTTTGGCTATAACTCGTCGACTAATTGATATTTCTTCAATCTGTTAAAGCCAAATTATTGCTGGAGACCTGTGCAACAATTAAAATTAAAAAAAAAAATTGATTTAGAAAATTTTTGTAGTGCTTATGAAGCAAAATGTTGGAAAATTTTTTTTTTCATGCTTTTTGAACATATTTTCCACAAAAATAAGCCTTTTTTGTTTTCTGTTTCATCAATAATATGCTTCTCAGTTTCTTCAATAAATTTCATTTGAAAAGAAAGCAATCATAATACAAAACTTGCCTTTTCCAGCTTAATATTAATTTACTTCTCATTTCTTATGTACCAATTTTTTCAGTGTTGGTTTTGAAGAAACATTGAAAAAGAAATTATAAAAATATGGAAAAAAATATAATTTTGAAATGTTAGTTATGAAAAGTTTTAAGTAAAAAAATTAAATAAATTAAATTAATGATTTGGCCAGTTGCCGTTTAGCAGGCGGCTGTGGATCAACATCACTGCTCTCTCTAATATCTTGGTCATCGTCATCATCATCAGAAAGGTCGATAATTTCGTCCAACAGATATTCTGGAATTTCATCTTTGTCTTCCCCTTCCTCTTTTTCCTCGTCTTCCTCTTCTCCAAAGGTGTTTTTATACCACCAACAAATGGAGACTTTTACCAAGTTAATTTTTTATTTATCTGTCGATGGTTATCGCCATAATTACTCTCACATTATTATCGGAATAATTATCGATAACCATATAGAAATATATTTTTATCGACGTAATTTAGGATTTGTTGGCGATAAATTTATTGAAATTATTTATTAAAATCACTTTCGATATAGCTATGTATATATTACTGAGATACCTAGATATATACTATATATTTAAATATTTACCACGTTTATCCATAGTTTAGTCGAAACTTTTATTCACATATCCAAAATATTAATTTATATCTGAATTGGAATTATCACCAAAAACATTTATCGGTGTTTTTGAACATGCTTACTATAAATTTATCGATATATTTAAAAATACACATCTATTACGTCATGAATAATTCGACAGTAGTTTTCATTTATTTATTGGCGATAACTTTAGTGACGTCAATACCTTTACTATCTAGATTACTACTAATTTTGTTTTTATCGAGATCACTATCCATACATATGTGTATTACTAAGCTGTGAATTTTTTAATACGATTTTTTATTTTTTTTTTTGTTGGTGGTTTAATCGAAATTATGTTACATATACCGATAATATTTTTTTATTTCTATGAAAACTATAAAAAAAAGATTAATCGATCCTTTTGACCTACCAATGATAAATTTATCGATATCATTTTCGATGTACATATTTACTAACCAGATGTGTATATCTTTAAATAATTCGTAACCCTTATCGATATTTTTATCTACTTGTACATATCGATAATATTTTTTCGATATCATTAAAACTGTGATTCTTTATTGTGTATTTCCTTTAAGCGGGATTACACGATAAGTTAANAAAACTTTAGACCCATCAGTATTTTACCAATGTTGGCGAAAGTTTTCGAAAAGTTTATTTCCGCTCAGATAGTGTCACATATGAACAAATTTAATTTATTGAGCGAACTCCAGTCTGGGTTTAGATCCAACCATAGTTGTTCCACAGCCGTGTTAAAGATTATGAACGACATCCGCCCCGCTTTCGACAGTAAGCTGCTCACAATTTTTGTACTCTTAGATTTTTCCAAAGCTTTTGACATGGTAAACCATGATATTC